CCGCTTACTAAGCCCAATTTGGTCTGGGCCCGAGGTGGGCTTAATAACCGGCTACTCCTGTACTATGAACCCCGCAAAAACTGAAAGAAGCTTTCACTTTAATCGTTAGAAGTTTTAGTAAATCATTTAACAGTTTTTTGCACCAAAGAAAAGGGATTTATTCCGCATTCTCTCTGGCAATCATAATAGGTCGGATTGCAGACGATGTGGAGTGAGCCCGGTGGTTCTACTGGTTAGAATGTCAAGTAAAATTATTACTTACCTACTGGATCCGGACTTCGGGTTGGAGCACGATAGCACCTCTAATTAGGATATAATTGATTGATGATGATGGTGGTATTTTTTGATTGTTTATTACTAGCTGCTAAAAAACTGCCTGTCTCCAAAGCAAAACACAGGCATGATAAACTGACGGACGCCACTACCCATGTGAACGGGAATTTACAGAATTAGTACACCCACAGCCAAGTGAACTCCCTTCGCGAGCACTGCCAAAGTAATAAGATTTTATTCTTTTCTGTCTTCTGGGGGTCGAACTAATCTACAGCTTGTGAATAAGAAGTATTCACTTATGGTAGTGGGGTGCTCACCGCTCGCGTTACGCAACACATCCCTCCGTGTCTTGGGGGTCACTCTTGAGCCCCGGCGGTAGAAGCCGCTCCCCGGCTAGTGTATTCTAGGTCATCTCCTCTGTCAGTAATGTCTTCCTGCCTATAACATACTAGCTGCGGAGTGACCGCTGCCGGCGGGCCTCGAGAGCGAACCTCAAGGCACAATGGATGTAGGATCCAGCAGGACAATGAGATTGATTCTTGTTTAAATTCGTCGGCGCGGTTAATTCGAGTCTAGCCAAGGACTTTGTAAGTGGTGTGCCCTCACAGGTAAGGTGTGTAGTGGTTGTCTCCAGCCCCACCCTCTCCCGTAGACAGGTGTGCGTAACAGTTGCCCTCCCTGCGAGGGTCCCACAAACTGTTCCCCTTCCCCGGTGGCAGCCTTCATCTCCACCTTCTCCGACTGTCCTTGTTAGGTTTGCGTACGATCATTTTATATATCCGTTGATGACTATTCTTCGTGGAATCCTAAAAAACATTGTGTTCACATTCCCGCCGGCTTTCCACTCTTTGGATATCTGCTATCACTATCGCGCCTTCTAGTGGATTTACAGTGTGGAGACACAACCATGAGACAACGGACGCAGACGAACAGCTGAGTACCGACCCTAATCAGAAGGAACCTACGCTATCCAAGAGCCCCAGTGCGCTCGGCTGTTACACGGGAGCGGAG